TGTCGGTCATGTTAAGATTTTGGCATTTGGTCCTAAGTACATAAAAATGACTATAATATGAATTACTATAATATGATCAGATTCAAATTTAAAAAAGAAAACTGATTGCTGTGTTGGAAAAGAACTAGGGGAGCATGGGTGGCTCAGTCGGTTGAGCCTCTGATTCTTGATTTTGGCTCCGATCATGATTTCACAGTTTGTGGAATCGAGCCCTGCATCAGGCTCCGCACTGACAGCACAGGGCCTGCATGGGATTCTCTCTCTCCCTCTGCCCCTCCCCTACTCACGCACATCTGTGCATACTCTCTCTCTCTTTCACTCACTCTCTAATAAATAAAAAGAAAGAAAGAAAAAGGACTAGAAGGGGACAGGAGAGAGCTTGGATAGCTATTTTTTTAATGTTTATTTTTATTTATTTTTGAAAGAGAGAGAGAACCCAAATGAGCAGAGTAGGGGCAGCGGGAGAGAGAGAATGCCAAGCAGGCTCAATGCTCGGTGCAGAGCTAGATGTGAGCCTCAATCCCACAAGTGCCAGATCATAACCTGAACCAAGATCAAGAGGCCCACACTTATCCGACTGAGCCACCCAGGCACCCCACAGATGGCTATTTTACTAGTCCAAGGGACAGCAAGTGGTGTCTGCACGAGGAAGGGGGTGGTACGGATGGAGCTATTTTGAAGTTAACATTTCCTTTTTTTAAGTTCATTTATTTATTTTGAGAGAGAGAGAAAACACAAGTGGGGGTGGGCAGGCAGAGAGAGGGGAGAGAGAGAATCCCAAACAGGCTCTACATTCTCAGCATGGAGCGCCGTGCAGGGCTCGAACTCCCAAACCATGAGATCATGAGAACCATGAGATCATGACCTGGGCCAAAATCAAGAGTTGGACGCTCAACCAGCTGAGCCACCCAGGTGCCCCTGAAGTTAGCATTTATAGTTCTTGCTGCCCCTCTTGGAAAGAGGGGGAAGAGAGAGAAAGACTCCTAGGTTAGAGCACTTCTACCCACCATGCTTAGAGACACCAGTTCCAAGTATCCGTTAAAGATTAAATATCCTTTTATATCAATTTTATAATTATTTACTGTGTTTTTAGGTGTGTGACTGAATCGCCCACATTTACTGGATAATTAGAGTTGATAATGAGATTGAAAAAAGTCACTCTTATAGCACCACCTTGTGGACAGTAGTGAGAAGTTTTCTCATTGGGTTCAGTAGCCGAGAAAAGACACAACGTTCTGAGAGGCTTACCAGTTATCAGCCGCACCAAGTCCTTCTTGGAAGGAGATGGGATATAAGTACACGCCACAGAATTGAAGTTAAACTGGCTATCAGGAAACTAACTGTCTGGATTTATTCAAACGTGATCCCCTCTGCTTGACTTCAACGTCAAGAGTCATTGACTGAAATACCTTTCATTTAGTTATCACCTGATGGCCACCTCTTTTACCTTATCTGCTCCTTCCCTGCCTCTTTCCTAGGCTCATCTTACCTTACTTGACCACTGACCCTGGAATTTGCTCAGTGTTAGGCCCAGCCATCTTCTTGGTTCATATTCTCCTTTAGGCACGTTTATTCCAAACCCTCATGCTACTTCCCATCAGTGACTCCCAGACGTGTTTCTCTTGTTCAACCTGCTGCTCCTAAGTTCCAGGTCCTTATTTCTAATCCACTGCCCTACCTCTCCAGGTGAGTGTTCCATCCAAGACTGAACTTGGGATTTCTTCGTCTCCAAATCTGCCATTCTTTTAGTGTTTCCCTGTTCCGTGGCGGCACAGTCTTCCACCAGTTTTCAAATCAGAAACTTGGAAGTCATTCTTGAGTCCTCCCTGTCCCTCCTCTGCCTACCCTTACAATTAATCTCTTAGCCTTGTCCGTTTACTGGTAGTTATCTCCTGAGTGGCCCACTTTGGTCTACTTTTTTTAAAAAAAATTTTGTTTTTAATGTTTTATTTATTTTTGAGACAGAGAGAGACAGAGCGTGAGCAGGGGAGGGGCAGAGAGAGAGAGCGAGACAGGGAATCCGAAGCAGGCTCCAGGCTCAGAGCCCGACGCAGGGCTCGAACTCACAAAGCGCGAGATCATGACCTGAGCCGAAGTCGGACGCTTAACTGACTGAGCCACCCAGGTGCCCCCTCTTTGGTCTACTTTTATCGCCACTGCTCTTCCTGGTCATCTCTTGCTGATACCACAGCTATAGCTTCCTAACTGGTCTCTGCATCCACTCCGGGCTCTCTCCAGCCCATTCTCCACACTGTGGCATTTTTTTCAAAATGCAAATATTTATTACCAGGCCATTTAAAACCTGCCAAGGTTGCCCCTGCCTCATAGTCTGCGATGCCCTGTAGTAGGTCCTTCCCACCCCCAAACAAGCTTCTTCACACTCACTCAACACCTTGCTCCTTACACCGCAGCCCCATTGGCTTCTCTGTTCCTCAAGTGCCTTCACCACAGGGATCTGCCCCTGCTCATCCCTCTACACCTCTCCTAGTTATTTCTCCTTAGCTTCCTACCTCAGCTTAACCATCTGTTCTCAGAGAAGCCTTTTCCTGAACTTCCAGGAACTTCTTTATTCTAAGATATTACACATCAGAAATCTCTTCCCACTGAACAGTTACCTCACTTTTCAAGATGACATTCATTAAAGGGGGGTTCTGATTAATGCCATCTCCTCAGAAGAGCCTAAGCGCCATGAGAGAAGAGGGCCCAAGGCTGATCGTGCCCACCATATTTCTCTAGCACCCAGCAGAGTGCCCGGCACATAGGAGATGAAGTTCCCTGGATGAATGAACAAACGGTTGTGTCTCTGAGGCCCCGAAAAGGCAATTACAACAGTCAACGGTATATATCTGTAGTTTGTGTTACTTACTTGTAAATAAAATCAGGTCCGGGTGTGACTGAAGGCTGCATCTGGCGAGCGTAATGCCAAACCCAGCCAGCGTGAGTGAAGGGAATCTCAGGCTGCCTGCCCTCTGGCCATTTCCCACCTGGTCCCGTGCTACTGGTGAACATGTACTTGAAAAAAATCGTACATACATCTTCTCTAAGAACAAACGCTAATTTTGAGGGTCATACCAGGCCAACACAATATTGAGGCGAAGAAAAGTATTTGTCGTCTTCTCAGGGTCATGGTTCCACTATAGATACAGTCAGTTTAGGTAACTATTATTCTCTCTGTCTTCAAGCAAATAGCCTTTTCCTGTATGTCTAAGAAGCTGACAGGACAATTAAAGTCATTTATCTCAAGACACAGAAAGTTCAAAGGTGAACCGAAAGTTCAAAGGTGAACATTTGTAGCTACTTCTAAATAACATTTTCTCCACCTTAAAAAAAAAAAAAAAAATTAGTGGGTGCCCTGTTTATAGGACAAAATAAAATCTCATTTTCCAACGTTGACATGCAAAGTGATTAATACCTTTACATATCAAAATTATTATACCTTTATATACAAAACACAGGTTCTTAATCTTTCCTCTCTTATTTTACTTATTTATAGATTTGTTCCAGGAATAATTTAAGACAGATTACAACACATAAAATACAGCAAAATAACACAAATTTATAAATAAATTAAAAATGCAAAGGCAAAAGAGGATAGGGACCAAAAATAGACTCAGAAATGAGGCCAATTAAAAAATGCCTTGTGTAAGGACTGATACACTTCCAGGCAGTGCTGCTGTTGTCTATACAACAGTCCTCCTGCCCTTCTTCCTTCTACAGAGCCCTGACTCTGTTGTGGTAACAAGGGTCCTGTTCTCAGTCCTAGAAGATGAATTATGATTGACCTAAGAGAGTCATGGATCCCTTGCTGGACCGTTAGAAAAGAATGTCCTTATTGTCTGAGACGCCTTTAGTGAAATCTCTTACTTGTGGCTAGGAGCTTTCTCACGGAGGCACGTGCTATTGTGTTTCATTTGTCTCTAAGCTTTCTAGCAGTCCACTCTAAGAGGGACATTTGGTTAGAAATAACTCAGTATCCATAAAACAAACAAAAAGAAACCCAGGCCTGTACCTAAGGAAAGGCGCAATATTGCTAAGACTAAGACAAAATAAAATAAGGGTCTAATAGGATCCACATATTCACCCAGTGTGTTTAAAATCCCACATGAAAACAACAATGTAATAAAGATACTGTAATCAGCAGTCCAAGCCAAATTGGCTTTCTCTTTTGACATAATTTATTATTCACCTTGAAGTTTCATTTTCTCCATGCTCCTTGAGTTAAAATATTATTCTTTGAGCCAAATGAAAGTGCATTTCACAAATTAATTTGGACAATGGGTGCAGAAAAGTTGTTCTTAGCAATCTAACCTTTGGCTTGTGAATACAGAGCCCTAAGTCTATGAGTTGGCAGGCAAGTGGGGTGGGTAGGAAAAAGGTCTAGATGGTTCCCATGTATTTTTTTTTTTTCTTTAGAAAGAATACGTTGTATCTTACTCTGTGTAATTCTTCAGAAAACGTGCAGGCATTCAACAGGACAGGGAAAGATCATATCCTAAAAAGGATTGTTTTCCCCTTTTAACAATGACATAAGAAAAGATTCTATTTATATATATAATTACATTTTATCTAGGAATAAGTTTTCTTTCTAAGTTTATCTATTTGTCTGTCTATATATTTATGTTTAGCTTTTAAGGAAAAGAAGCATAGCACTAGTAGAAATAATGTCTTCTTCTGTGTGTTCGGCTTGACTGCTTGAACCTGTAAGTCAACTGTTATAGCTGCCAGACTACCAGGAATAGTCCCTGCTTCAAGCCGAAAAAATCCCATTTACTATTTTAATGACCAGAACTTGCTAATGTGGGCATGTGAAATGTAACCTTGGGAAGGAATGCTCTCCATACCAGGAAGTCTTTGAGAGGGCTTGAGTTCTTGCCATAACTAAAAACCTGATGATGCATTACTGATGACTTCATCCCCAAATGAAAGCTAGCTGCCTGCTTCCATAATCCTCGGGGAGAATCGCACCAACAAAAGGCTAATTTGAAAATAACATAGAGGAGAGACACTTCATTTGCTCTATTGAATAAAATGAAGGAGCCCATCTATGCAAGTATAGAGAAGACACCTTGCAGATCTTGTTGTTCTATAGCACCGAAAGCAACTGCAGAGGGCTTAACAGAGGCACAAAAAAAGAAAAAAAGAGAGAAAAAGTTGCTGATGGGGTTTTTCAGTGGGGTTCCCATGAATGAGGACCATAGAAGGGAAACGGTCTTCCCCCATATTAGGCTTTTATGACAGCAGTTCTGACACCTCAGACATCATTGTGCATACTGGCTTTCTTTTTAGAAAAAGGGAATGGTTCCATTCCAGTTGATGGTGGCTTCTCTCCACTTGGTTCTGATTAGCATCTCCACTGGAGAAAACCGTCTTCCTGCTACATGTCCATCTCCAGGTTGGTTTCTTTCCCAGTGATGGGAGTGAGTATCTGGGTGAGGAACAGCCAGCATTTAGGCCCTCTATGCAGCATTCCAGAGGAAGCCAGGAAGGAAGGGAAACAGGATGGGTGGACAGGAGTTGGGCTCAGCAAGCTGTGTTCCTAGACCCGGTTAAACCCAGGGGATTCCAGTAGATGGTCAGTAAAAATGCCCCATACAAAACATGTGTGGTAACATGGGTGGTTGTGTATTTTGGAACATGAATATTGGTAACTCATGAAATGTACATTCCAGCACCATGATGCGACACATAGAGCCAGGTGTAGATCACAGCATGTTGTCCGGAAAACCAGGAAATGGAGAGCTCCTCACTTCCCAGTGCTTCTAAGAATACGTTTACATTTTTGGGTGAAGGGTGAGGTAGTCCAGTGGGGTAGTCAAGAACTGGGCTCAAGGGCAAGCTTTGTCATATATGACATTTGAGAAGGTACTTAACATCTCTCAGCTTCATTTATTCACTGAGTATTTCTTGGCTACCTCAGTTTCTTCTATGTGAAAATAGATATTCTAGTATCTACCTCATATGACATTTGGGAGAACATAATGGGATTACCTGTAAAGCTTCTAATACAGTGCCCAGAAGAGAATGCTTGCAATGCATGTGAGTTGATACAAAAATGATGCTTTCCTCAAGGAAGAGAGTAAAGTAGACCCAATCATATACAGCAAAACCTTGGATTGGGAGTAACTTGTTCTGCTTGTGTTGCACAAGATGAGCAAACATTTCTAATAAATTTTAACTTGATAAATGAGCGATGTCTTGCAAGATGAGTAGTATGTGATGGCAAACGTCATATGGTCACCACAGAGCCAATGGTTTCTGAAATTCTGTTTAATATACAAGTGCTTTGGATTATAAGAATGTTTCCAAAATGAATATGCTCACAAACCAAGGTTTTACTGTATATATTTTTAAATATATATATTTTTAAATGTAAATATATATTAAAAATGTTTTTAAATGTAAATATTATTTAAAAACATATTTTTAAATGTAAAAATATATTTAAAAACATATATTTTTAAATGTAAGTATATATTTAAAAATATGTTTTTAAATGTAAATATATATTTAAAAACATGCTTTTGAATGTAAATATATATTTAAAAACATGTTTTGGGAGACGCCTGGGCATGATGGAGTTAAGCGTCGACTTCAGCCAGGTCGCGATCTGGCAGTCCGGGAGTTGAGCCCGCGTCAGGCTGATGGCTCAGGCACTGGAGCCTCTTCGAATTCTGTGTCTCCCTATCTCTCTGCCCCTCCCGTTCATGCTCTGTCTCTCTCTGTCCCACAAATAAATAAATGTTGAAAAAAAAAATTAAAAAAAAAATAAATAAAAACATCTTTTTGAATGTAAATATATATTTTAAGTATGTTTTGAATATATGACTCTCTTATATTTAAAAATATGTTTTTAAATGTAAATATATATTTAAAAAAATATTTTTTGCAGGGGTGTACCTGGGTGGCTCAGTCATTTAAACGTCTGACTCTTGATTTTGGCTTAGGTGGCCGATCTCTGTGCAGGGTTTAGAGTCGCTCATCCTGAGCTTTGCACTAACAGTGTGGAGCCTGCTTGGGATTCTCTCTCTCCCTCTCTGCCTGCCCCTCCCCTCTCTCTGTCTCTCAAAAATAAATAAACATATATATTTTTTTAATAAATTTTTTTTTAGTAGGCTCCATACCAGTGTGGAGCCCAATGTGGGGCTTGAATTTACGTCCCTGAGATCAAGACCTGAGCTGAGATCACCTCAATTGTCATTGTCTCCCCAAATTAAGTGGGCTAGTATATATTTCTCAAAATTAAAGAATTAGGAGCTGCACAGATAAAACAGTCACTAAGATACTTTTCCAGATTTCATTATACTGAAAAGTTGCTTAATGCCAGATCTGGGATGCTAAATGCCGAGTCCAACATCAAACCAACAAGCCTCCACCAGTAAAACCAAGGTGCCCAGTACAGACTTCAAGTCTCATCATGTTTATTCCCTTGTCCAAAGGGCCAATGCTTAAAGACATCTTAGGTTTAGTCTTTTTCCTTAGGAGTTAAAAAATTTTTTTAATGCTTATTTTTGAGAGAGAGAGAAAAAGTGCGAGTGGGGAAGGTGCAGAGAGAGAGAGAGAGAGAGAGAGGGAAACAGAATCCAAAACAGGCTCGAGAGAGAGAGAGAGAGAAAGAGAGAAACAGAATCCGAAACAGGCTCCAGGCTCTGAGCTGTCAGCACAGAGCCCAACTCGGGGCTCAAACTCACGAACCGTGAGATCATGACCTGAGCCAAAGTCGGATGCTCAACCAACTGAGCCACCCAGGCGTCCCCTCTTTTTGAGTTTAAAAGAACATGGTTGTAAATGAAATGAAATAACCTGTGCGGTTGTCTGCTTCTTCCATTCGGCGTGGAACCTCGAGTTTGGCCGGGACTGCACCTTAGTGACTGTTGCTCTCCTAGTGTCTGTCCACACTGCCTGGCACTTAATAGAGCCTCAGAAATGCTTTCTGAACTAACCACAACAGAAATGCACTCTCAGTTTGCTTACTTCTGTCAATGGATGATCATCCGATCAGTTGTAGGATAGAATCGACCAAATGGAACACACCTTCTGCCCCAATCCCTCTGGTTTTCCATTTCTTTCCTCAGGCATTAAATGCCTTATGCTCACAGATAAAAGTTCCTAGAGAGGGCCTTTTGGAAATTCGGTTTTTCCCCTTTTGTTTTTTCTCTTACCTAAAACTCATTTGTTCCTCTGTGCTATGTGTAAACCCCCTTGCTCCTATTTAAAGCAGCTTCAGAATTCCCAGGTTGCAAAGCTTGAGTTTAGGACTGTGGGACTCATGCATAGGTTTCATTTCAGAAATCAAGCCTAAACCTTTTCCTGCAAAGCCAGTGTGAATATCTGCACAGCTGGGAAACACCGGCTGCTGCATCTTTTTGAGCGCATTAAAGCACTCGGCACTTGGAGTCTGAAATGCTCACCTACTGTAAGCTGCACAGGCTTCTTCTGTGGGGGCTGGCCTCCGTAAAAGTACAGATCAAAGCGACGCTCCACTTTCCAGTCTGATAAGAGCTGCCTGTTTGTGCTAAAAAGGACGCTGGAATTTCCATTAATGTTGCATAGCCAAATAGGTAATTTGGGAGTCTTCAGCCTGCTGCCCACCTGGAAGGGAAGAGGGGAATGCAGATGAGGACAGAGATTTATGTCACATCGCGGCAGATACTGATGCATCATCATGATCAAAACACAGCTCCGAGGTGTCTTGTTGAGCTGGTCCGTGCAGGGCACTCTGCGTGCAATAAGGTTTGAAGTGAAGGCTTCCTTACGAACGAATGTGCCTGTATGAATGATGTGGTGGGGTGGTCATGCTGTTATTGGGTGGCCTCATGGGGAACATAGAACCGCCTCAGTTTGGTTTTGAAGTTAAGTAGAGAATAAATAAACTGAATTATAAGTGTACGGGTGGAATAAGAGGACTTCAATCTGTCTTTGTCATTGACTGGTGTATTTACTCCTATCCCCCAGATAGGACAGTATTTCATTCAGCAGGTGGTCAGACTTTTGGAAACCATTTAGAATATAGGAAAAATAAAATATTTAGAATGCAAAAATATAGACTATTTTGAACATAGGAAATAGCTCCAGGGAAATGAAGGGAATACACACACACACACACACACACACACACACACTCGTGCATATATACACATATCTACATGTTAACATGGAGATCAAATGTGAAGATATACTTAGAGCTGAATATACTAGTTTAGCGTCACAATAATATTAAATTTACTCTTTTAACTAGTTTATCTAGTTTTTCCAGGCAACTGTCAATTTAGCAACTCGTGAATTAGATGGACAAAAGTACTACTCTGACAGGCATAGCCTCTGAGTGATATTATAGTGCATTTCTATTTATGGTATCTGCCAGTTTGTTTAAAGAGGCAGGAAAGCACATATTTTTAAAGATTGCCATTAAAATTCATTAACGTTAAAAACTATTTTTTTTTCTACTTAGAGTAATAAGCCTGAGCTACATAGAAAAAAACCATCATTTTCATGTGATGCCAGGGAAAGCTATGGACCTTCAGCCTTGGTGTGGCTTCCCATAATGGAAGGATCTGATTCTGTTTCTTTTCTTCTCAGTCCTTAGAGTTGTACTGTGTGTTCAGGAACAGATTCTGTTTTATGGAAAATCCAGCTTTGAAAAATTATCACGTTTCATAAACCCAAGTATTAAAGGCTAATAACTTGACATTTTGATTTCTCAATAGTTCTATTCAAATCTCTTCGTTTTGCTTTAGTTTAAATTCTTCAGTTGTGGGTGAGTGGGTGAATCAGAGATGCTTTTGTCTTTAAGGTTTTCACTTTTAGCTACCATAGAAAAATTATATTACTGTGTTTGAAAGACAAGAGTTCAGTTTTAGTGAATAATTTAAAAAAGGGTTGCAAGCCTAGCATCCCAATTTGGACATGATCATTGTAGGTGCAGGATTTGCTTATCTAGTCTCATTAGAATTAGCCCCTCTGGGCTGAGTGTAATATGAGAATCTCACATATCTAACGGGCAAGTCGCCCACTGGCTACATTGGAAATAAAACACAGAGGATATGCCCTTGAAGCAGCCGAATGCGTTTACGTTCCAAGATTCCACCCACAAGTTGCAAATAACATTGCAACCATTCATTAGTTATAAAATAAGCACTTTCTTTCTTAGACCTTTTTGCCATGGTACCTTAGGTCCTCAGTTTATATGGAATCAAAATATGATCTACAGGACATGGAAGTATGAAGGTTGGAAAACTTGGATAAACTAATTGGGAAATCGAGGGCTATTTGGAATAAAATGTCACTTATTTTGAAAGTTAAAAGAATGGTATTTTGGGTGATCTTACCCCAATGAAAGTTCCTGTAAATTGTGTCTAGGTGGAGGCAATAGAATATAGACATGTATGACATTGGAGTTTTTGTAACGTAGGCAAAAATCAACTGGCACTCAGGTGACACTCAGCAATGTGCTGACAGCACACTATTGTTACTTTATGCAACAATGCAACAGTTTTCTGAACTCACACCTCCTCAAGATTTTATTAGAGGAGGAGGAAAATGAAGTAGTTATACATACAACAGTCTCCAGCTCCCAAAGTAACCATACAGAGACTCCACACTGAGCAAGCAGAGCCTTCCTTACTTGCCTTGAGAGATGCCGGTGAAAAGGAAAATGTCATGCACGACTGTCAAGGCAGTGTAGGTATTAACTCTAAGAGGCAAGCCTTAAGATTACGGCTGAGAACACACCTGGTTTAAAGTGAATTCTGTAGGGGCGCGTTAGGTGGCTCAGTCAGAAGGGTCCAACTCTTGGTCTCAGCTCAGGTCACGATCTCACAGTTTGTGGGTTTGAGCCCCGCACTGGGCTCTGGGCTGACAGTGCAGAGCCTTCTTGGGATTCTCTCCCTCCCTCTCTCTCTCTGCCACCCCTCTCAAAATGAATAAATAAACTAAAAAAAAAAAAAAAAAAGCGATTCCTGCAAAAACAAAGCCAAGCACCTCCTGTTTGAATCCAGCCAAGTATATATCCCCTTCTTTTCTTTTTTTAAAGCTTATTTATTTTTGAGAGAAAGAGAGACAGAACATGAGCTGAAGAGGGGAAGAGAGAGAGAGAGGGAGACACAGAATCCGAAGCGGGCTCCAGGCTCCGAGCTCTCAGCACAGAGCCCCACGCGAGGCTTGAACCCACCAGCCGTGAGATCATGACCTGAGCCAAAGTCAGAGGCTCAACCCATTGAGCCACCCAGATGCCCCATCCCCTTCTTTTCTTAGCTTACCACATTATGTGTTTGACTGGAACGTTGAGTTAAGAATTTGTATTGCTTCTGGGTAGACGGTTTATCAGCTACCCCCAGCCCCAAAAGCAGCATTCTAAATATGTTTTATTGGTGAGATTCCCCAAATGCAGAATTTGTGCATGTTGCCTCATGTTGCTATGGTAAAAAGGAAATTAACTTGTGATACAGTAGTGCTATAAATAAAATACCTTTCTCCTTAAGTTCACTCATTGTATAATAAGCCCAAGAGGTTTAGCATTACATCCAGCAATGAAGCCTTTCCTAACATGTATCATTTAAGCCAGTGTAAAATTACAAGGACAGGACGAGGGATGGACAAATTCTAAACACTACAGGGCAAGGATTGAGTCCGTGTAATTCTTTTTTTTTTTTTTTAACGCCTTCTAGAACAATGGTGCTTACAATGTGCTTTTGCATAATGAGCTTGATATTGAGAGTCCCAAGGGTCCAGTCTGGTAATTGGAACTGGAGGAAGGTGTTGGAATTGTGACTTTTCTAGCTGATTCCTGGTGGAGATTAGCTGACTGCAGAGTGAGTCCCAGGCTCTCAAAGTCTCTGCACCTGGAACACAAAGTTGATGTAACTTCCTTCAGCGAGTGTGCAGGTAGGTCGTCGTGTTCGCAGGGTCAGCACCTTAGCCGATAAAGGCCGCGTGGAGTCAGTGGGATTCCGACGTGGTGGGCGAGCTTGTGGTGTGGAAACTTCCGTGGTACTTCTTGTGTTGGATTTCTACGGTCCCTTTAAGAGTGGTTTTGAGAGGACAGAATTTGCTATGAGCTGGGATGGTGGTACCCTGTGCCACGGCTACCAGGGGAGTAATTCCAGCAAGACCTAAATGGCTTCAGTCCCTTCTAAAAATCAGAGTTGGTTTTTTCTTCTCCGTGGCAGGTGCGAAGATAATGCGAACCTCCTAAGGCTTTCCAGATGGTGTTAGACTCAAACTGCTTTATGTTCTCACTTAGGTATTGGAACCTCACACTCCAACCTGTACCTTCAAATAGAAAAGTGACGGGAGGCTTCGAAATAGTGCCTCATCTTGTAGGTAGCTGGCTGCGTTCCGTAAGAACTGTCAGTCTGGTGGGCTCTGGGGGGGCTTGCCGTGTCATCTAATGAGAACTCCTTTTTTTTTTTTTTTTTTTTTAAATCTCACCCACTGGGTTGTGACATTGGGACTGAAAGACATGTGTTTTTGCAGCCTCTGCAATTTTATCCCAGAGTAAGGAGAGATTTACTTTAGGAAGACAGACACAGCATTTACAGGATGGGTTTCACCAGGACAGCAGAATCTGTTGGCATGCTGGTTTTCTTTTGAACTCGGAAACCTTTCTTACAGATTATTATTATCAGTGGATACATATAATCCGCTGATATGAAGCACGTAGCCTAGGCAGGAGCCCCTAAATACCCATAAAGTGCTTATGTACCCAGTGGGCACATTCATGAATCCTCTGTGGAGGGGTTACCCTACTCAGAGAAGAAAGGAAGGCGAGTGGCTGTGGGGGTCTTCAATCCAGTGAGCCGGAGAGCACTGTTCTAGAACCACATCTAGTTCTTTCTTTTTTTAGTATACGCGCTGCCGAAGCGAGCACATATCTGGTTCTTTCTTGAGCAGACTTTTGTTCAGGTCTAGGGCAGAGGACTCTGAACTATCAGACTTCTGGATACACCACAGTCACGTGGGTCCTCTGGTTAGCACGACTCTGAGTCCCACCGAGCTTGTCCTTCCGGACACACATTTGACGGACCTGGCCTGCCAAACCGGCAGGTGAAGGGGAGCAGCTACTTTTCAGACTGTGCCCCAAGTACAGGTAGTCCACGATCAACCTAAACAACTGCTTTAACACAGAAGTCCACGTAAGAAGCTCTAGCTTGTTGAGTCCTGCCTTCTAAACCCTAGCTGTGCTTTTGCCACCATCTAAATGTTAGAGTCTAACATCTGTGTACCTATAATAGATATTACAGGTGATGTCCTACAAATAAGTCTACATCTATATGTAAGTATATAGATACGATAGATTATAAAAGCACTTAGGATGGAATATAATTCTAACAACTGGCACTTTGTATTTATCACTCTATCAGAAGACGAGAAAAGATAACGACAGGCAGCATGGCACAGTGGGCAGAGTGGGGACACCAGCTCTGATGCCTAGCGGGTGGCCATGGGCAAGTTCCCACACCTTTCTCAGCCCAGATTTTCTCGTATTTAAAATGAACGGTCAAACAACAGACACTGGACTAAACCTAACACTTACACCTTTGAGTAGGAGTGAGGATTAAATGAAATAAGGCATCATTGCAGTGGCTCAGAAA